ACTTACTATTATTCTGAAGGAATAATACTGTCTTTGGGGAGGTTTTGTTGTTCTTTTCATGTCTCTTGAGAATCGAATGCAGGGCCCCATGTGCTAGGTAGACAAAGTGCTTCACCACTGGGCCCCAGCCTCTGTCCTTTAATTTTGAGACCGTTATCTTCCTAAGTTGCCCAGAGTGGCTTTGAACTTCTGCCTTGCCCTGTCAAATAGCTGGGATTACAGGTATGAGTCACTACGCTGGCCAGTACCAGGTTTTATGGCTATCATTGGTGCTGGCTTTTAGAAAGTATTCTTCCTCAGTGGACCAGAAAGGTACCTATTAGAGGAGAAATCAGGGTCTAATTGAAGATTTTGTGAAGTCTTTAATATAAATAGAGGAAAAAAACAAGATTTATAAAAGGCAAAAAACCAAAAAGCCTCCAAGGTAAAATTAAAGTAGAGGGCTTGGGATGTGGCTTAGTAGCACAACACAGCATATGCCTAGCACGTACGAGGCTCTGCATGTAGAGGCCTTGCTCCTAAATCACTAAATTGCCCGGGCTAGGCTCAAGGTTTTGATCCTTCTGCCTCAGCCTCCTGGAGTGCTAGGATTGCAGGTGTACACCACCCGGCCCAGCTCTAAAGCTCTTCCATAAAATACAAATTGGCTTGTCACTCATTCTTCTGCTTACAGAACAATACTAGCTGACGCTGAACATTTATTAAGTACTCTTAGCTCTAAATGCTTTGCCCATATTAACTGTAAACGTAATCTTCACTGTAGCCCTATATCAGTAGTGTTACCTAAATTTTACAAATAACAGGCTTCAGATACTGAGTGACGATGGCACCCTCAGAGCACAGGAGGAGTGGGTGGTGGGCCAGGATTTGATCCCGGGTACCCATACTTTCTGTGAGGTGACCTTGCTTGAACCCTGCTCAGCCTTCCTGGCTCTCCACCACTTTGGCCTGCTACTGCCTTCCCACGCCCTCCGCTCTGCTGCACCTACACCTCTGCCCTTGAGCCTTCCTGCTGCACTCAGGCCGCTGGCCTTCCCTCCTGGTCCTGCTCCCTGACTGCCAGGGGCCTGGAGATTTCATTCACGCCCCACCTTCCTCTTGTACGCACCCCCAGCTTCGCACCCACCCCGCTGCAGGGGCAGCCTTGCCCTAATCCTGTAGGGTTTTGGTTATAAAATCTGCTAAATCGCTTAACATGCTTATCTCCTTAGCTATAACCTCAGTTTTTGGCTTTTGCTTTTTCTTTTTCTTTTTTTGTTAACTTTTAATTTCAGCATAGCTTTACAATTACAGAAAAATTGCAGATGGTACAGAGAGTTCTCATAGACCCAGTGTCATTGGTTTAATAAGTTTATGTGGTGGGTTATCACAATTAATGGACCAGTGTGAACAGTTTAGGAGCTGAAATCCAGACCTTATTGTGATTTCTTTAGTTTTATCTAATGCCTTGTGCCTTTCCCAAAATCCAGTGTGGGATACCACACTACATTTAATCTTTGCGTGTCCAGGTCGCTGCTGTCTGTGACAGTTTCTCAGACCTTGTTTGGGTAGGATGTCCCTCAGCTGGGTTGTCTGGCGTTTTTTCATAATTATACTGGGCTGTTTGGGGAGGAATTGTACAGAGATAAAGCGACCGTTTCGTCACATCGTGAGGAATGTTTACTTTATACTTAAGGTTATAATCCTGCTACTTTATCTTGCATTTCAAATTGTTCCAGCTCTGGCCACCAAGCAGGAGCTCTTTTCCCTGGCTCATGTTTCCCTTTGATAAAGTCCCACCCTTGTGGGCTTTTTCTTTTTTAGCCCTTCCTTACTTTCTAGCGCTACAAGATAGTCCAGACTCGTCTTGTGTGTGTCCTGCCCTGGGCATAGAATCAGCCATTTGTCCCAGAAGTCCTGGTTTCCTTTGCTGGAGGAGTGGTGTTAGAAATGAGACTGGGGCAAGAGGGGCCCTTCGCTTCTGGGGTGGGGTGGTGTTTTTAGGCTCTCTCCATTGACAGTAAGGAAATAACAGCCATCACTTAACAGTGGGACTATTTTCTGGGCCGTGTGCTGGTGAGTGACCGTGGTCGTGCCAGCCTGTCTGGGTGTGCTTACACTGAGAGAGCTATGACAGCACAAGGAGATACGGTCTTACGCCACCTCCATCATCTGTGCAGACCGGCTTTGTTAAAAGCATCATCAAACAGCCCGTGAGTGTGTGCTAGGCAGTATGCAGACACAGACTGTAAATGCTGACGTGTGATCATCCGTGACCATGTAAGTTAAGCATGGGTTGATAGTGATGTCAGCACCTCTAACCCATTCTGTCCTTCTGTCCTGGGTTACCCTGATGGGAGTAGCTCTGCTCCCACTGCCCACCCGCCATCTGTCTCCTTCACTGGTTAGTCCAGTGTACATGCTGGTGGCTTGCGAGTCCCCATTACTGTGGGAGACAGGCTCATTTATCATCTGCGGTCCAGGGTGGTGGGCTGTTCCAGAGCCCCCGCACCGGCACCTTCCTCCCCCAACTCCTTCGCAGAGGTTGTTGAGACAGTTGTAGTGCAGTGCAATCCGTGTGTGAGCTTTTGCTGTCCATCCTGGGATCTGTGGCCTCCTAAATGGCTTTTACAATTTTGCATAACTAAGGTTTGGTTCTTTGTGTTGTAACGCTCTGTGGATTCTGCCAAATGTGTGACACTATGCACCCACCACTGTTAATACTGCACCACGGAACAGTTTCACCACCCTGAGAATCCCTTAGACTTCACCTGTTCACCCTCATCCCGACCCCTACCCCTGTTTACCATCTCTGTAGTTGTGCCTTTTCCACACTGTCGCAGAATTGGAATTGTGTGATATACAGGATTTTTAATTGTCTTCTTTCACTTAATAGAATACTTTTAAAGGTTTAACAGTATCTTAGCTGTGTGGTCATATGTAATCCCAGCACTCTGGGAGGCTGAGGCAGGAGGGTCAAGAGTTGGAACCCAGGGCCTAGGGATTTAGCTCAGCGGCACAGCACCAGCCTGGCAAGTGCGACTTCATGAGTTCAATTCCTGGTACCAGAAAAAAAAAAAAAAGAGTTGGAACCCAATCTGGAAAACTAGGAATAAAGCTGCACCAGACAGTTGGGTGCCGATTTTTGTGTGCATTTGTTTCCAATCCAACATCCCCAGGGCGACTCCTGAGTCACAGGCATTTTCCCCTGCCACAACTGCCAGTGCCACAGTGCAGCGGAGCTGGCCCAAAGCACAGCAGAGACGGCCCGTTCCCCGCCCTCCTCTAGCCCTCTTACGGGAGCTGGAAAGCGGGGCAGACCACAGTGCAGCATGAAGTCCTACCGCTCTGGCCGTTGTTCGGGGATCATCAGGACTTCTAACGTGTAATGATTCTGTCCCCAGGGTAGTATTTGGGAAAAGAAGATAGATGCCGTCATTGAGTTGAGTAAATGCCTAGGAGTGCTTGCTGGGTTGTATGATAAGATTCATCTTGTTTAACTTTTAAAGAAACTGCCCCAGTTTTCCAAAGTGGTTGTACAGTTTTGCATTTCCCCTGGGGAGGGCTGAAAGTTGAGTTCTCTGCATCCTCACTAGTGGTAGTTGGTATTACCAGTTCTTTGGATATTAGCCATTCTAATATTGTGTTGTGGTATCTTGTTTTAAGTATCTTTGAGTTCTTATATTCCCAGCATTAAGCATAATAGCTGGCAAGAAGTAAGCTCTTTATTATTTATTACTGTTTCCTTATTTATTATGTTGACAGAATGAATTAGGTAGATTAATTTTGTTCAAGGAGTTGAAAGTTGCACCATATGTCTAGGCCTCTCTCTGTCTCTGTCTCTGTCTCTCTCTGTCTCTCTCTCTCTCTCTCTCTCTCTCTCTCTCTCTCTGTCTCTTTCTGTCTCTCTCTCTACCTCTATCTCTCTTTGTCTCTCTATCTCTCTCTCTGTCTCTGTCTCTCTCTCTCTGTCTCTGTCTCTCTCTCTCTCTCTCTCTCTCTCTCTCTCTCTCGTAGTGAGACAGGTCTCAGTGTGTAGTCCAGGCAGGTCTTGAACTCATCATGGTCCTTTTGCCTCAGCCTCCTGAGGGGCTGGGATTATAGGTGTGCACCACCAAGCCGCTCTTAAGCTTCTCCCTTTAAAGATGATCCTTCAAGATCTAGGCCCTGACTGCGTGTTGTGCAGACAGGACCCTTGGTGTTCACTGGTGGGGAGATGGTGCATTTTCAGAGGCTTTTTAGCTCTTTTCCCTGTCCCCTCCTAGGGCGGATGGGGAAATGATTTTCAGGCTGTGTTGTCCCTTGGGTCCCCCAAGCCCTGTCAGCCTGTGATGACAGCAGTAGCAAAGCTCTGTGGGCATAGAGCAGCAGGGGTGGCCTCGGCTCATGTGCAGGCTGGGGCCCTTGGCCCGCTCAGGGGACCCGATGTACCCGTTGGCCTGCAGGTGCCACCCCCGATGGCTGAGCGGTAGGACTTCATGCTGCGCTGTGGTCTGCCCCGCTTTCCAGCTCCCATAAGAGGGCCAGAGGGGGGCGGGGAACGGGCCGTCTCTGCTGTGCTTTGGGCCAGCTCCGCTGCACTGTGGTCCTGGCAGTTGTGGCGGAGAAAATGCCTGTGACTCAGGAGTTGCCCTGGGGATGTCGGGGAGAGGGCTGCAGCCTGTGTTTGGGAAGAGCCAGGAGAGCCTTTGGCTACACAGGGGTTTTTTGTATTTTGTTTTGTTTTGTTTGGTGTTAAAGATCAAGCCCGTGGGGGCGGTAGGCATTGTAGATGATGGGAGCTGTACAAAAGCAGTGGGCTGGTCTGTGGGGTGTCAGGGTCTCCTATGCGGCTGGGCCTTTTGGTGAGAGCCGCAGAGGACCAGGAGGAAGGGCGTGGGGGCGAGGCACATGGGAGGCCGGCGTCCGGCCCCTGGCTGTGCTGTCTGCAAGAGGCTCCCGTGTTCCTTCAGCTCTCTCCTTTTTTAGGGTGCCTTTCAGGTACATTTGTGTGTCTATAATGCAATGCTGTGTGGTTTCAGGACCCAGTGAGTCCCGGGAGCAGCCGGCCAGTAGCTCTGAGGAGACATCTGGAGCGGAGGAGGAGGAGGAGGAAGACGAGCCCAGCTTCATCATGGGGCGATGAGGTTGCTCGGCGGCTGTCACAAGCCTGGCACTTCCTGTGACCAGAGCCTCAGGAGACGCTCAGTGCAGCCAGCAGGGAAGAAGGCTGCTTAGGGAACACATGGAAGTCCAGGGGACAGAGGGACCGTTAGACACTGCCTCAAAGCATGCCCCTGTGTTCCTGCCAGAAGGGGGAAAGTGCCTCGCCAGCAGCCGGCGCCTGTTCTCCTACCCGACCAGTGACGAGCTTGAGGCTGGTTTTTGGAAGGGAACATTACTGTAGTAAAGAGCAGAAAACCTCAAGGTTTTGTTCGGACATGTGAAACATTAATTACCAAAGCTGTAGAGGGGCCATGAAATGACACAATAGAGACGAGGCCTCAAGATTCAACAGGTCCTGGGACGTGGGCCTGCTCCCAGACTCAGCAGGGATGCAGCCTCGGCGCCAGGGCCGACTCGGGGGCGGGCACCTTGCCTGCTCCTCCATGGGGAGCGCAGACCCCGCCACAGAGGGGCTGGCCGGGCCATACAGAGGGAGCGCGCTGTGTGGAAAGAGCTATGGGGAAGTCAGGTTGCTAGAGAAATAAGCAGGTAGGGAATCCAGGCCGGGCCTACCCAGGTAGAGTCCCAGAGGAGTCCTAGCCATACTGGAAGGGGCGGGGTATTGGTCAAAAGCTTCATTTTCATCCGGAAGCCAAAGGGGACTAAAAGCAACGGCACCTGGGGACTGTGCTCTGCCTGGGTCACGTGGGCACCGAGGCAGAGAAGCAGCCTGCGTGCCCACTGTGTGTCCAGGCTCACATGTATCCTGGCCGGGACAGAACCAGCAGCTCCAGCGTGCAGGGCACTGCGCCGGGAGCCGGGGCACATGGCAGGTGGCCGGGGGCAGCTTTGTCCTCAGGGCCCTCAGGCAAACAGGGTTGACAGAGTCAGTTTCAAATTAGAGCCTTTGCTGCATTTTTGGATTATCTCCAGCTCCTAAGTATATTGTGTGCCTTTTATGGGCTGGAATGGCATTGAGGAAGTAGTTATTTTGAGTGATGGGAAACCCAGGGACAGTTTTATTTTACTTCTATAGCGGAGGTTTCCCTGGCCCCACTCCGAGCCACATGATATCTGTGTTAGCGCCTGTCCCTTTGGTAGCTTAAGTCACAGGAGTGTTCCTTTCTGAAAAAGCCAAAATGAAGCATCAGCCCTAATAAATTAACACACACCCTGGCTGTACGTTTTGAAATCTGTATTTCTCTTGTGTTGGGGACTGGTTGGTTGTTGGGACTTACTTTTAGTTCCCTGTCTCTGGATTCTTGTTTCCCTATCTCTGTTTCCTCCCCCCCAAATGTGTGTCAGCTAGGACCTTGTCAGCCTCCTCTCCCTGCAAGGCCACTGGGGTGCCCGGCTAGGAGCCTAACCTGGGTTTGAGTCCTGACCTTGCCTCTGGTGAGGACTGGGGCAAGCCCCTCGCTGCCCCTGCCAGGTCACCTGGCTGCGCTGAGAGACATGTTCAGCGGTCGTGTGGCGGGTGGCTGAGCAAGTAGCTTTTGAGATTAGGCAGAAAATGCAGCAAATATATATATACACACACACATATATATATATACACACACACACACACACACACATATATATATATATATATATATATATATATAGACACATATATATATATGCAGCAGCAGTTTCTGGCCATTGTTCGGGGATCGTCAGTACTTCTGTGTAATGATTCTGTCTCCAGGGTAGTATTTGGGAAAAGAAGATGATGCGGTCATTGAGAAGGGAATCGGTAAGACTAGAGTGCACCCCCCCCCCCAAGCCACAATTAGGGGATACTCATGAAGTAACACCCTTGCTGATGGCTTATGGGTGGAGACTAGCCTGGAGGGGAACTCACAGCTGTAATAATATACTCTCCTGTCATAAAACCTCACGATTCTGCAGCCATACCGTCCTGAACCTGCATCTTACCTGATCTCAGGAGCTAAGCAGGTCGGCTTAGTTAGTGCCTGAAGGGGAGAAGACTTCTGCAAGGATTCTGCTTTACCAGCAAGGTAGGCCTGCATTCACTTGTTGCTAGCATCGGCTGAGCACTTTAACACCCCCTATCAGGCTGAGCCGTTCATGGTGGTATAGATTTTGCATTGCAGTATTCATCCATCAGCGCGTAAGTGGTAGAGCTTGAGTTTGAACCCAGCCTGAATGACTCTAGCATCTGTCATACAGATATGCTGTCCTGGGGAGAGGCTTGGTAGGAAAGGTCCCTGGGGCCCTACCAGGGCTGTGGGCTGCAAAACCCTCCTTTCACACGTTCAAGGCAGTGGTACATGCATGCCTGTCCCTCTACGTGGCTTTTTATTAGTTTTATTAGCAAAAACACCGATAAACATGATTAGACCGTTTTTACCACCAGCTGCCCGATGGGACTGTCACGCCTATACCCCTGGTGGTTCAGTCCTGCAGGACTGTGCAGGTCTGGAGCTTGGCTGCATGTGCATGTGATAATAGTACAGTGCAGTGTGCCATAAAGTGTAGATGATCCTGTATTTGTGAATTTGCTCGTTAAAATTAACTTGTGACCCCACAGTCCATACCCACCTTGCTTTCATCGTCATTTCCAGGCACACATTGCAGAGAATTTAAGCTGTGACCATTCAGGTGTCCCCACCTGAGGTCGAATAAGCAAGGCTTGCTTGTATCAGCTCATACTGCACAGCGTCCTTCTCGGGGTGTGTTGAGTGGCAGATGTTCTGCGTTTTTCGCTTTGTCCAGTGATAGTTAAAGTGTCCCCGGGCATAGCGCTGAAGTGCTGTCTGGTGTTCCTAAGTGCAACAAAGCCCTATGTGCGCTGTGGAGGACAGCTGTGTTACATACCTCTTGGCTGTGAGCCCAGCATTAATGACCCAGCAGTAGGAGTGAATAAGGTGCCTTCAGACAGAAACACAAGAGCAGGTAATGTAAGGCTCAGCTGTTGGAAATGTGGTCAGAGGCCGGCAGGAGCCCAGTCCTGCTTCCCTGAGGAGCAGGGGTTCAGGCCTCGTTGACGTAGCGTCTGGTGGCTTCACAGAACACAGCTACTGTGGATAACGAGTTTTGGCTGTCGGGGGATGGGGTAAGTGTGCACGAGCAGCCTGGAAGCGCGAAGCGTTTCCCAAAGCGGGGAACTGAGCCCAGCTCCTCGCCATGACGCCAGCATCTTCTCACCTCGAGAAGTTGGCAGCTGTGCTGCTCATCCCATGTGGAACAGGGCCCCCGGATGCCACGCTGCCACCCAGCTCTGCCTGCCCATCCCCGGACGGCTGCTTTCCACAGGAACTGTGTGTATGCTGTCCTCTCAGACCTCTCCTGCTCCCTCCTGTGGGCCTCACCATCTCGGAAGCTGGAGAAAACAGCGGCCTTGGGCCTGCGCTGCGCAGCCCCCACGTTGCGCGCCAGCCCAAGGGTGCCTCTGTCTCCACGCTGGCACGGTGCAGGATGGCCCCACAGGTCCCCTGAAGGTCTGCTTCCTCCACACACACCGCCCCCCAGGCCAATAGACAAGTCCCGGCGTCTCCTGTTAGGGCAGTAGACAAGGGCCCCAGCTCAGGCTCCTTGTCCTCCCACTCCCAGGCCAGGGTCCATCCACCTCTGCCCGCCCCATCGCGCACTGTGCTCTTCCTCTTCCTCGCCAAGTCAGCCCTCGGTGGCAAGACAGACAGCCTTTCCACGCAGCATCCCCGACATCCCTCCTGGCCCCTCCTGCCCCTGCCCGAGCGTAGAGGTGGTCAGCATGCTGTTCTCCGTCCACAGCAGCCCCGGGAGAGCTTGTCCGGCTTCAGTGCTATCCTTGCAGGTATCTTCTGCCTTTGTCAGGCTTGTCTACCCTGGAGCCCCACAGGCCTGGGTCGCATCAGCTGCTTGACGGCCACCCTTGAGTGTCTGACGGGCACCTCAAATGTAGTGTGAGAGAAAGGGGCACGGGAGCCCTGGTCTTGCCCCCGCATCTTCCCACCTCAGTAACTGCTCATCACCTTTGACTCCTGTTCCTCGTACCCCTCCCCGCAGTCCTCTGTTAACCAAGGCCTGGACCTTGCACTCGGTGTGTGCCCTGTCCCCCCAGTCCACCGGGGGATGATGCCTCCTCTGCGGTTACCCCCATTCTCCGTGCAGCGGCCAGGGGACACTTCACAAATGGAAGCCAGACTTGTCACTGCCAGTATGCAGTCCCCAGGAGCTTGCCCGACTTGGAGTAAAATATGAGCTGCACAGCCCCAAGGTCGGACACTGCCCCTCCTCCCACCTCCCGTGCCACCCTCACCCTGGCTCCTCATGGCGTTGTATCTGCCCCCGCACACCTGCCTCAGAAGCCCTGCCACTGCCTCTTAGTTAGCGTCAGCCGAGATACCAGCTCTTTGGAGCGGCCTCTCCCCACTCACTGCCACCATTTTTTTCCTTCTCTTTCACAGCACTTGTCAATGGTTTACTCTCTGCTCCCACAACACTGCAGGTCCCTGAGAGCGAGGCCCTTGCTTCCTGTTCTTCGCTGCGGCCCTAGTGCCACACGGTGCTCGGGATGTAGTAGAGACTCATTAAATATCCATTACACAATTGAGCGATCTCCAGGGACTGGAAGCTGGCGGGGACACTCTTCAAACCTGACAAACTACTAATACGGCAGGAAAAACAGACAGCTGCCTGCGGGTAGGTAGTATGTAGGAGGCTGCTAAAGTGATTTGTGACACGCAGGTAGCTGTGAAAGAGCCCCTTTAAAAATCCAGATTCCTAGGTGCTGCCCCTGGAGAATTGATTCATTTCAGTGATTCAGGCTCAGAATCCACATTTTAAACAGGTGTCCCAGGAGCCTGTCCCCCCACCACCACCTTGAGAAATGCAGGCTTGGAGTACATGAAGTGCTGGTACTGTTTTAAATTTACTTCCTGTTTTCAACGTCAGGGATTGAATTTAGGGCCTTGGCACTGAGCTACATTCCCAGCTCTTTTTTTATTTTGAGACAGAATCTCGCTAAGCTGCCGAATTGCCCTGGCTGGGCTCAAACTTGCAGTCCTCCTGCCTCAGCCTCCGAGTGCTGGGATTATAGGCATGCACCATTATCATATATCTCGGAAAGACATTGTTAAATTGAGTTAGACAAGTGATGTTCTGTTGACTTAGACTCAGGAATACGGCTTGATCTAGTCCCTACCGCTGCGGGGAAGGAGAACTGTGGAAACTTTCCCTCACCTTCATGGGAGCAGGTGTGTTTTCCCCTGCTGAAGTTAATTGATGTTTTCTCTTTAGCACGTTTGATGAAAGTGAGCTACAATTACCATATATTAACATGTATTTCCATAAGGAGCACACTTAGAGATTAACCTGGAGCGAGTCCAGAGGGGCCATCGGCAGCTTTGCTTCTTCCGAGGGGACTGTAGCAGATGTTCCTGGAACACCCGACAAGGGCTCAGCCCCAGGGATCCAGGGCCAGTGTCATGCACACAGGAAGTGCCCCCACCTTCCAGGAGCTCTGCTCTGACTGGAGCAGTGCAGGGTGCTGCTGTGTTCAGGCCTCACTGGATGCAGAGAACACCCTGGAAGGGGACAAGAGCAACGGGTAGGCAGTAGAGCAGCCAGAGGTAACAGTGGCCTGAACAGAGGCACGTGGGGAAGAGTTCTGGCAGGAGAATCCCCAGCACTGGATGGGGAGAGAAGGAGCCCAGGATGATACCAGATTGATCACGTCACCACCTGGGCGGATGAAGGAACCTTCCCTGAGACAGGTGGCCTGGAGGTGGAGCAGGTGTGTCAGGGTGACAAGATGACAAGTTCAGCTGGGCCATGGTGAAGTCAAGGGCCCTTGGCGCTGCTGCAGAGATGTCACCCAGGTCGGGAGGGGAGAGCCAGGCACAAGGTGACACTTGGGAACCCTCCGGCTGCACGTGGTGCTTGAAGCGGTGGAGCAGAAGAGACCAGCCAGGGAGCAGCGTAGTGAAGAGAGGGCCCAGGCAGAAGCTGAGGAGCATCTAGGGGACAGACCCTGGCAGCAAGAAACAGTTGGGCAGAGTCACCGAGGCGTTTCCTGAAAGAAGGAGACAGGGCTGCCGGCTGAAAGAGCCTCTGGGGGTAGCGACACATTGGCAGGGGACTGCAAGGGGCTGAGGGGGTGAAGCGACGACAGCTCTGCTGAGAAATTTGCCGTGCTGTGGGGACGGGTGGCAGCAGGTTAAATGTGAGACACAAGGGTGGCTGCAAGGGGGAAAGATGGGTCTCAACAAGGTCCAGAGGAAGGGCGGGCTGTGAAGAGAGTGCAAAGGTCAGGTGGGGGTTACGGTCTGCACCCCCGTTCATGCAGGAGCTTAGTCTCCGACATCTTGTAGTGATAGTATTAGAGGTGGGGTCTTCAGGGAGCTAGCTAAGGTCATTAGAGTGGCTCCCCCATGATTAAATCCTACTGGCTTCATAAGGAGAGGGACAGACCACATAGGGAGGTCACCTACACCCACCATGACCTGACACAGCCTAAGGGTCCTCTCCAAAGCCTGGGCCATGCCATTTAGACTGCTTCCTCCAGAACCATAGACCAAAATAAACCTTGTCTTTATAAAGTAGCCCCAAGTATTTGTTACAGTAATGAAAAACTAATTCAGTGAGATAGTTGGCTGTTAGACTTTGCAGGAGCCAGGCATGGTGGTGCACGCCTGTAATCCCAGCACTGGGGAGGCTGAGGCAGGAGGATCGTTGCGAGTTTAAGGCCAGCCTGGGCTACAAAGTAAGCTCAAGGCCAACCTGAACTGCATACGGAGACCCTGTCTCAAAAAGACCAAAAAAAAAAAAAAGACGTTGCAGAGCTGCTGTGAGTGATGAAACGGGCCAGGCCATAGGAGTGAATGGCAGAGGGGACAGCAGTGAGGCACCGGCAGATTGGTACCTTGGTCATCCTCAGTGCTACGTGTGCAAGTCAGAAGGGAAAAAAGACCATGGCTCACTGAACAAAGGAATATGATGCACAGGTCTAGCGGGTGCTTGACCCTGTGTGTGTATCTCTGCAAAGAATTGGTCTTTTCAAAGCTGGGGTAGCTGAGACCTTATGAGAGGAAGGGACTTGCCAGCTCAGGAGACAGCCTAACCTGCAGCCCAGTGTCCTGGCAGGGGGAATGTGCCCCCAGCCAGAAGGTGGAAGGGTTGGTGGCTGTGTAACTATCACTCAGCTCCCCGTGCACCTGAAGGGGTCCTCCACACATCTGTTTGTAACTACTAAATGTCCTTTCAACGTGGCACTCTTGCCTCCCTCGACTTTTTTTTTTTATTTACCCAGTACTAGGGTAGAACTAGTACTGTACCTCTGAGCTACATCCCCAGCCCTTTTTATTTGTTAATTTTTTGAGACAGTCTTGCTAAATTCCCTAGGCTATGCTCAAACTTGCAACTGGTCACCCTTCCCAGTTGCTGGGATTACAGGCTGCACCACCACAGGCTCGGCTCCCTCCACCTTTGTGTGTGTGTCGGGGCAGCGGGGAGCCCCAAGCCTTTTAAGGGTGAAAACACCCTGCCATTTTCTGTATCTGGTAAGGAAAGTGGCTCTGAAGGGCAGTGGTAATTACAGCTGGCACTTGCTTCTGTCTGGGCACGCTGGATAATTGTGCTTGGGTGGAGCCCTCGCTGACGGCGCTGGACAGCAAAGCCAGGCTTCCTGAGAGCCTGCACTGAGCTCTCTCGCTGAAAGAGATGTGTGATGCAACTGCTGTTTACAAAGTTTTTTGTAAAACAAAGTCTTTTCTTCCTGTTTTCAAGTTTGCTTACCACAAAATCGCGGTCTGAAAGCCAGAAAGCCGGGGCCTGACTGCTTTCTGAGGACACCGGTTCCTGAACTTGGCTTTCTACAGGCATCTCTTGGAAAGGGAGGCTACAGTCACCCTAGGACTCTCTTATGGCCCTCCGTAGGGCCTAACCTGCCTCCAGGAGGGGGCAACTGGTCCAGTCTGGTTTTAAGTGTCCTCCTGGGTTAAAAGACATCATTTAGCTCAGCAGGGGGCTCTGTAAAGCAACCTGAAGCATAAACAGTATGGCAGCTGCAACATCTATACCCTCCCTATTGTCAAAAAATTTGGACGGGTGACACGAGTGGAATTTTTCTTTCGTCTGGGTAAATGTGTCAGTCCAATGCCATTGTGACAGATGGAAAAATCCTATGTAGGGCACGCAGCAGCCCATCAGGCACGTAAGGAGGGCTCCGACGGGCTGTCTGGCTCCATGGGTTGCTATGAACCCATCTCACCTGTCGGTGATTATTCATGTGCACTTCCTGGAAAGAAAGTTCCTGATTGAGTATGTCAGGTCGTAAACCGCAGAATTCACCAGCAAGGGTGAGAGGCTCTCTGCAGCCGCAGTTGGTGCAAGTTCCTGGGGCCCACGCACAGGGTTAGTTCCCCGGGTCCCGGGGAGCCTGGGAATAGAAGTGGCCAGGCCGAGCCTTACCTCCACCCCTGCTCCCACCCCACCCTTCTCCGGCCAAGGACCGGGCAACCTCTGATGCTCACACTGCCGCAACCCACCCCCCCCCCCCCCCCCCGCTCTCCTACGCTCAGCCCACCCACCGCGGGCCTAGCAGCCATGGCCCCGCCGGTCCTTGAGCATCTGACCCAGGGTCGGAGAAAGCCCAGCTCATGGTTCGGTGGCCGGGCCTGGGGCATCCCCGCCTCGCCGCTTCCGCGCTCCGGCTTGGGATAGGAGAAGAGCGTCAACAGATCTCCCAGGCCTGCCACTCCCAGTGGTCCGGACCCAGATTCGGACCCCGGAAAGGAGCCCCGCTCTTCTTGGACAGTCGGGTCACGTGGCTCGCAGCACCCCCACGAGCTGGTCACGTGACAGCGGCGCGGTTGCCTTAGTAGCGGCGGGGGCAGGGCAGAGGCGGGGCCGTGGGGACCCCGCGCGCCAGGCGGAAGGAGGGAGGGGGCTGCGCTCTGCGCCCCGGCCGGGCCACACGGCCACGGGGTCGCATCATCGCCTGCTGTGAGCCCCCAGCTGAAGCCCGGTGCAGCAACTAGCGCAGCTCCGGTGAGCGCTCCGAGCAGATGCGCCCACCCCTCCCTCGGCCGCAGAGAAGCAGGTAGGGGAGAGCTCTAGGCGAGATCCCCGCTCGGGTGGGGTGGATCGGGAATGCTTGACCGGAGAGGAACGGGGCTTCCTCCCGGTGGGTTTAGATGGAGTGAATAAGGAGAGAATGGCTAAGGGAGGAGAGGATAGTACCCGGCGTCTCCCGGTCCTGTGGGATCCCTGGCGCGCTGCGGTGCCCACCGGATCCGAGGCCGCTGGGGCTCTTCGGAAGGGGAGAGATGCAGGTGGACGTCCGTAGGAGGCCTCTGTGGCAGCTGCAGGTCCCCTCCCCACGCCAGTCTGTGACAGACATTTCCTGTGCCCCAGATGTTTAGAGGAAGTCACGACAGGCGCACTCCAGAGCCTGCGTCCTGGAGCCGCTTCAGACCAGCCTGCCGGGGGAAATCCTGGATCTTCAGAGAAAGGGTCACCATTTTTCTCTAAGACTCTTTGCTCCTTACAAAAATAAAAGCGAAAAAAAAAGCCCGGAAGGTAGAGCCAAGAGAGCATCCTCCGGAGCCAGGGCTGTCTGACAAATGTCGCCTCCATCTTGTCCCAGCCCACCTCCTCCTGAGCTTGGAGTGCAGGGACCAGACTGCTCCACCCCTGAGGCACAGGCTGGCTGGCTGGAGGTTGGAGGATGGGTTTGAGTCCCATCCCAGCTGATCCCTTGGGAGGAGATCACTTCAGGACCAGCAGGCTTGTCTTTGCTTTGGTTTTTTGAGACAGGCTCTTGCTATAGTCTAAGCTGGTCTTGCACTATGTAGCCCAGGTTGGCCTCAAACTTGTGGCAGTCCTGCCTCAGCCTTCTGAATGCTGGGATTACAGGCGTGAGCTGCCATGTTCAGCCTACAGCCACCATGCCTGGCAAGCTTGTATTAAGACCCAGCTCCAGCCAGACAGCCCTTCCTGCCGTCCCCACCCACTCAGGGACATCTGCAGCCCAGCTACTTCCTAGAGGCGGCCCTCAGACCTCCCTACCCTGAAGCTCTGTATCTTGGTTCACCGTCAGATTGGAGCCCGGCTCATGGACACTGGTGGCTCCTGGGCTTCCCTCCCTTTACTGTCCCCCAGGTCCTCCCCAGCCTCCCAGTCCTCTCGCTGGGATGCATGGTAGTCCAGGTCCAGACGGACCCAGCAGTGCAGGACTGTTCCCACTATTAGCTCCTTCCGTGCCCCTCAACAGCCAGAGAAGTGTCTTGCACCCTCGTCTCCCTGACCCCCAGGATGGGAGTCACCCCGTGCTCCTGGAGCTAGTCTTCAGGACCTCACAGGCCCTCCATTCAGGGAGCATCTTGTCTTTGAGGGAGCATTCCTCTCTGTCAGCCTGTCTTCACAAACCATGTCTCAGACCCCTGATGTGGCTCCCGGGTGCTTCCTGCAGGGACCTTTAGCCTGACTAGCAGAAGGAAGTCGCCCTTCTCTGCTCCCTCCTCTTCTGCCCTACATCAGCCCTCAGGGCGAGGGTCACCACCTTATCTTGCTTTTCTGGTGGGCAGTGAGTTCCTCGAAGGCGGAGAATCTGCCTCTTTTTCCTTTCGTGGCTGAGAACCAAGTGTAGTAAGATTCCGTGGGATGGAATGCAGAGAGAACAAGGGTTAGATCCCCTCTTCCCCGGAGACCCACAGGCTCAGTTGTGCTTTGTACAGGAGAAAGGAAAAGAGAAAGTACAGTTCCAGATTACGACATATTCAGTTATTTGAGGCTAGCCTACAGATTGGTTAGTGAGCACATTTCTCTGAATCCGTCCCCCAAGAGAAGGGACATACTAGTGATGGAGTGCATGGCTGCAGTGCTGCTGGCTGCAGATGTGGGTGAGAAGATGTGCCCGGGGCGGCCAAGTAGGCTTTCCTACAAATGGCCTGGTAATTGGCATCCCCTCGTAGAAGGCACACAGGCTGTTCCCCAGGGATCCTGACAGCTGCCCAGTAAGAGCTGTGGCTCTATAGGTCAGGGGGGAAGATAGAGGAAGCTGAGCTGGAGGAGGCCCTTGTGCACCTCCAGGGCCTTCCCTTGGTACTGTGCTGGGATCTGGCGTGGAGGGATGAAGTGGGAGGTGCTTCCTTTGCCGCTGACCTTAATAAACACCCCTCACTGCCCCAGCCACACTCCCTGGGACCTACGCTCCCCATATGTTCTTAATAGCTTTAGGCATACTTGCCGTGGGGCCTGGTGGGCCTAATACAGAAGTTACTATTTGTCGCCAGGGCAGCTGCAAGGTGCCTGTGCCCTTGAAGCGTACCCTGGAGATTAATTAGAGCTGATCCCTGCGGGCGTGTGGCTGACAGGAACTGCCAATCCCCTATGCTATTACTGGGGATTTGGGGTTAACTTCACAGATCTCGGCAGAGATCAGTAACACAGCCCTTTGAGCTGTGTTACTGTCAAACTGGATGTTCAGCAGGGGTGACTCCGGGGGTCTCCAGTATCCCTTTCCCCTTACAATGTTCTCTTTTAAGTGGTCAGTTGGTGGATTTAGTTTTTCATTTTGCTAAAGGTTTTCCCGTTACAGCCTGGAATTGGCTTTGAATTATATAAACCAAATATTTGATTTTAGGAGGAACTGTACTGATTAAATTGGAGCTGGGTGTGGAGTCACTTCTGTTTGTAATCCCAGACAGAAGGAGGCTGAGGCAAAAAGGTCGCAAGCTCAAGCCCAGCCTGGGCAATTTAGCAACTTAGCAAGACTCTTTCTCAAAATTTAAGAAAGCCTGCAGAGGAGGGATATACCCCCGTGTGAAGGCCCTGGACTCAATCCCCAGTACGAAAATAATTAATTAATTAAAACTAAGGTGGAAGAAGCTAGCTGCCACTTGGAAGCGTTTGTTCTGTCGCTGGGACCTGGACATTGAACACAATTTTGAGTCTTTGGCTGCATTATTTTGTGCGGAGTCTTGTAGGTGGGAAATTCCCATTCTGAAACTGAGGGCGTGAGATCAGAAAAACAGATGGCAGGGTCAGAACCTCATGGCAGGGGCTGGGGATTTAGCTCAGCGGCAAAGCGCCTGCCTGGCAAGCACAAGGTCATGAGTTCGAATCCTGGTACCGGAAGAAAAGACAAAAA